ATATATATAAAATAAATATATATAGACCTTTAAAAAAAGCTATATTAAAAATATATAAAATGCATTAAAGGCTCAGTTGGACTCTGCAGGCAGAAGCCACTCTGAGAATCTTTATTATGATAGAGCACTTAACGAGATATTTTAAAGTATTGCATCTGTACAAGTAAGAAAATATTTTGTCTAAATGCATCAGTGTATTTGTATTTTTTTGCAAGTGAAGGTTTACAATTTACAAAAAAGTGTGTATTAAACCAACAAAGCTGCAGAAGGAATTTAAAATAATAATAAAGTGTAATTTTTTTTGTTCTAGTTCTCAGTCTGTATATATGTAAAATGTGGTTTCGCACGGTGCCTTTCTTTTCAATGGAAGTTTTCAATGTATGGACTATATTGAGCTCAGTTTCTTCAAGGTACAGCCTGATGTTGCAAAAGGAGTTGTGGTGGAACTCTCTATCGGGAAATGTTTTATTTTTTTTGGTTTTGGTTTTTTTGGTCTTATTTTACATGCTTGTGTTATAAACAATCTCGGGAGACAGGGTTTGGGCTGTGTCTAAACTGCATTAATGCGTTCTGTAAAATATAGCTGTACAAATAAAAGAATAAAATGAAGAAAAGTGAAGTATGATGGAGTGAGGGGTCTGTTCTTGCCCGTCCTTCTCCTTAAGCACCTTGAAGGCCAGTCGGCGCCCCGGGAAGGGGCTGAGCATCCCAAGCCCCGGCATGAGCTCTTGGCTTGGCGCAGCTCTGGCCCTGCGTTGAAGGCAGGGCTGGCTGAAGCAGCCTTTTCCAGGGTCGAGTGACCTCTGGAATGAGGTCAGAGCAAGACTCTAGCTCACTGCGCTGCATCCTGGTGGGGACTGTCCCACTGTGCCACCTCCTTGATGCTTTCTGCATTTGCACCGAGTAGCCAGCAGAAATAGGGCAGAGCCTGGGAGAGACCTTCTGCTGACCAGCCCAGGGCCAGTTCCAGATGGCCGGGTAGTTATTTATATTTCCTGGAAACCGATGCAATTGCCAGAATCGCTCAGGGAAGAAGGCTGCCTGCTGCTCCTCTTGCTTTCCAGCACCTGGGGTGGGGGCTGCCGATTCGACGGCCTTGTCCAATGGTTCTGTGGGGCAGGGTCTGTAACCCCCTCCAGGAACTTGCTGGCCGATAGCATCTCTGGGCTTCCAGCCATTGCATGCTGGCTGCGGGCCAGAGCTGAGACAGCCCAGCTTGAGTGAGACCCCCTGCTCTCCCCCGGCAGGGAGAGGTGACACTTTGGTCTGTTTGGGTGGCTGTGTAGAACTGGGGAGTGAAGCCACAGGGTGACCAGGCCCTTGGGAAGTGGGGATGCTCGGGGTGCATGCAAGTGCCTTGTGCTCTGTGGAAGCAACCCAGCAGCTCTTTGGTGGTGAGGGCTCACTAGTTGCAGAAAACCAAAGAGCCTCATGGAAAAAGCTTCTCTGAATTACACAGGCAGGACCGGCTGCAACCAGCTCTAGTGCGGAGCCAGGGCACTGCTCAACATGGCCCAGGGAGGGGTCTGAGCCGCACAGGGCTTGTTTCACTTTTAATTTAGTTAATTCATGGATCATTTTGGTGCAGGGCTTTGGGGGTGATTCACAGTGGGAGGACTTGGAAACACCAGCTGGAAAGGGAGGGCCTGCAGTAAGGAGGAGCTGGAGGATGGGCTTTTCAGTACACCATGGGACAGAGGTGGACATGAAACAACCAAAGCAACCCTGCATGGAAGGGAAACGCCAAGAAGCAGGGGAGCCAACTTGCAGCACTGCTTTGCAGGACCCCTAGCTCCTCCGGCTTGTCTCCCAGCAGACCAGATCTGCTGGCACGTGAAGAAGCCTCCCAAAAAAGCCAGGGCTGAGCACTGAGCTGGAGTCACCCTCTCCCTCCTCCTGCTGTTTGATTTGGCCAGGTAGGACGGGCTGCCTGGCAGCCTGCAGCAAGTGTCCGCCTGCTGCGGGGCAGGCTTTTCGTGGGGTGAGGTCCTCTTGGCCACAAAAACCTCTTCGCGTGCATCCTCCCGGGGCAGGAGCCTATTTCTCACCCCACAAGCTGGGCACACCCTGCTGACTGCTCAGCAGGGCTGAGCCTAGCACGAGTCCTCACCAGCTTACTCGTGTTAGGCACAGGTTGAGGGGAAAAATGACACCAAATTGGCATTGCCTGAGCGTTGGGAATAGCAAAAAAGTGCGTTCCCACCTTGGTCCCTCACTTGCTTCCCCTCTCCACCTCTCCCCAGCAGGTTTTTAATGTTTAGTAAAGCCGGTTGTCCTCATGATGAGATTTTGACACACATACTGTCCTCATTTGACACACGTACTTAGGTTTCACCCCTCTCTGTCGGGAGCTGCCTGTCTTTGAGCTCGCGACCTCTCTGATTACTGCAGTTGTCACTTTTGGAAGTGGCTGGGCTGGGCTGACAGCCCCGCTTGCCCCAGACAAGCAGGCTGCATAGCCGCGACCTCTATTTCCCATTGACTTGCTCAGCTGCATTTGCAAAATAAATACCGTATTTTCCTGGATCATGGCTGCGTTTCCTCCTCCTGACAGAGTTGTTGTTTTGTTTTGGTTTTTTTTTTTTTTAAAATGATGTCATGGCTTTTCCAGACAGTTCAGCTGAAGCGATAGCAATTGCTCCCTTACTATCCATGGAGCAGAGGTCTGCAGGCATCTGGCACAGCCAGCCCGTGCTGGCGAGCTTTGCTCAGCACGGACGGTGTTTACAGAGGCGAGGGAGCAGTCACACACAGGGCTGCACTACACATGTTTTATGGCTGCGGAGCCCACAAACATTGAACTGGTCAGGCCTGCCCAGATCAGTACCACTGGGTTATTTGTCCTTTGAAAACCCAGCTCCAAATACAAGGTCAGACTCTTGCCAAGCCTCAGAAGAAAGGACGACACCAAACTGATAAACTGGCTGGTTTCCAGGAAGCTTCCCAGAATGTGTCTGAGCAGCTCCTTTGGTACCCATCTCCCCCTCCTCCCACATAAAGACCTGCCCAATAAATGGGGATGTGGTTGAGTTTTCCTTTTCTTCAGATTTCTTCTCCACTGAAAAAAAATGTTGCCACACTGCCAGCTCCTTCCCCATTTTACTTCTCAGCACAGGCTTCAGGAAGGCCCAGCAGAGAAATGGGGGATTCAAGTTTCCTGGGGCTGAGCAGGGCTCTAGGGGTGCCCACAGCGATGCTGTGAACCGCTGTGCTGAACTCGCTGTGCTCACCAATTTTTTTTCTCTAGTCCTTGGGCCTGGTTTTGGTGCTGAAAAACCTGTGCTGAGTAAGAAATGACGCTACAATGTGGAGGGCTTAAATGCGGGCACCAAGGCTGCCACTTGCCAAAACGTGGACGTTTGGTCGGCGTATAGCTGGGCTAACGACACCG